TATTTAATACAGGGAATTTTCGTTTTGTAGGCGTTAAAATTAACAAGTCATGCCTTGCCCCAGTTAACAACATATTGTAGGTCATTTTTTAGATCAGCTGTCAATTTGACCTCATCGAACCGACCTGAATTACTATTACGACAGGAGAAAATAGTTGTGTCAACAGCCTAGATGACATCAGAAAGATCGTTAATGACAATTAGAAACAACATATGTCCAAGGACAGAGTATTGGGATGTGCCCTCATTAAAGCAAAATGATCTGGAAGAGTTGCCATTCAAAATAACTTTCATTTCACTATTCGATAAGAAAGATTTAATTAGTTCAAAATTTCTTTTAGAAATAGCATAGCATTTCAACTTGTGAAGAATACTAGTATGCCAAAACCTTGCCTTTAAGATATCCAAGACACCAGACCAGGCTTCACCATTCTTATCTAAAGCTTGATACACTCTTTCAGCAATAATTGCTAACAGGTGACCTAGTGAAACGAAAGTCATATTGTTTATTTGAAAGAAGACCCCGCAAAATGAGGTTCTTAATCAAATAAGAGTTGATTAGAACCACCAGTACTTTACCAAAATGTATAGAAGGCTAATAGAATGATCAGATAGTTTTCCTGAGTTCTTAAAGACTGGAACTACAGAAGCGGATTACTAATAAGCAGGAATATAAGGAGCAACAAGGTATTTGTTGTAGAGTGCAGAGATCTCAGGAACCACTTCAAGAGCGCATTCTTTAGGACTATTGCAAGGATATCATCAAGTCTCCATGCTTTGAAGGTTTCCTGTTTAGAGATCTAGAAAACACTGACAGAGTTATATGCATATACATATAGACATTCGTTTCTAAGTGGAAACCCAAGTAAAGATACTCCAGTCGAGGTTCATCATACCAGGCGAGCTTATTTCATTGTCACACCTTCCATTTTCAACGCTACAGTGTATAATGACTGAGTCATAGATCCTCCATTAAGATTATGCATTTAGCACTGCAAGTAATTGTCGTTAAAAAAGTTAATCGGGGTTCTTTGCCAATACGTTATAATATCAGAAATGATAATTATTTAAAAAGAAGAAAAACAGTTTTTCTTTTCTATAGGATAAGGTAGACAAGAGAGCGCCATGCTTTCTTTTATCTAAAATCCTTTGCAAGTGATATTCTCATTGGTGAAAATCTATTGAGTGTAATGTCTGATAATAATAATACGAAACTAAACGTTTATACTTAAAATAATTGCTTATCCTTTTCTGTATTCGGTCAAATTAACTTGCACCGAATCTCGATTATGTGGTTTTTCTTCGAATATTTAATCTTTATTTCTTTTGACGGCGAGGGATTCTATCTTTCTGCTATCAAGTTGTCTTGCGTGTGTATATATCCTGTTTAGTTGTTATGCTGGCATACCCACCCATATTCTTCGGGTTTCGATTCTGTACTTGATGGCTTTGCGGTTACCTTCTAGTTCAACCCCGGGGGGACCTAGGTCCGTTGCCTTTCTGACAAATCATATTATGGTATCTCTTAGAGTGGAACCAGAACATATTGAGCCCACCACTCTTCTGGTGCGTGAATCACATGCTAAAATAATGACGTCAGGTTTTTTTTTTCTCTTGCATCTTTTCAAAATGAATATAGAATGAAGGAAGGTGTACCACAATTCCGAAAATAAAACAAATAATCTCTTTTAGATCTTTCTTTCATCGTATAGACTAATATACGAGGTGGAAATTAATTTTATTATTAAATATGCATGATTTATATTAATACTTTTTCTTTCATTGTGTCCTCCATTCCAAAGTCTTCTAAATGATAGACGGAATCTATAATATTCAAAATATACTTTTATATTTACAGGAAGATCTTCCATGTTATATATTCTTCTCGTCCCTTCTTTTGTTCTGGTATCTAGATGTTACAGTTTTATTGTCTTTCAGCCTTTTATCTTCTGCTAAAAGGACAATCCTTTAATCCACCTAGTCGTGTTGGTCTATATTAATTTTCGTTCTTAATCTCTTATAAATGAAACCTAATCATGGATATCTCGTGATACACTTTATTTCGCCTAATTTATCGCTGGTGAATTGAGATAAATGCTGATAATAAAAATTGTGAAGCATTGCCTGATTAACAGTTGGTGGGGGCTTCTGTGAACATTAATATTCGAAAATCTAACTTTTATTTGGACTGGAAATAACGGAAGATGCCTCAGCCACCAAGAAGAGCGAATTTATACAGCTATGTAGTTTATTGTTGTCGTTCAAAATGCCATAAAAAGGACACGTTCTATGAAAATCAAATTTAAAAAAAAAAACAACTGCATAGCAACTACACAAATCTAGAAATATATATATATATATATATATATATATATATATATAAAGACATTTTTTATATTCATTCATTCTTTTTATAGATACAAATATTTAAGTAAATGCTCTGTTTATAATAAACACTATTAACAACATTTACCGGCCTGAATGTCCGAGAAATTTTCATA